GATTTATACCCGAAAAGAGGGGGTGAATTTTTGGTTATAGAATAACTCGTTTATTTTCAATTTTACGAGAAAAATTGTTATAAACAACGTTGTTTAAAATTAAATTTCCTACAATTCTGCTTTTTTTTTGTACGATCGATTTTTTTCGATTTATACCCGAAAAGAGGGGGTGAATTTTTGGTTATAGAATAACTCGTTTATTTTCAATTTTACGAGAAAAATTGTTATAAACAAAGTTGTTTAAAATTAAATTTCCTACAATTCTGTTTTTTTTTTGTACGCTCGATTTTTTTGTATTTATCCCTGAGAAGAGTGGGGGTAAACTCTTAGAAAAAATCGGAATCATAATTGTACCAAATAACATTTTTGAAAATCAGAAAAAAAAAACAAACAGAAAAAATAATGGTACAACATCAATAATAAACGTGACAATACAATACTTAGGTTCACCCCCACTCTTCTCAGGGATAAATACAAAAAAATCGATCGTACAAAAAAAAACAGAATTGTAGGAAATTTAATTTTAAACAACTTTGTTTATAACAATTTTTCTCGTAAAATTGAAAATAAACGAGTTATTCTATAACCAAAAATTCACCCCCTCCTTTCGGGTATAAATCGAAAAAAATCGATCGTACAAAAAAAAGCAGAATTGTAGGAAATTTAATTTTAAACAACTTTGTTTGTAACAATTTTTCTCGTAAAATTGAAAATAAACGAGTTATTCTATAACCAAAAATTCACCCCCTCCTTTCGGGTATAAATCGAAAAAAATCGATCGTACAAAAAAAAAGCAGAATTGTAGGAAATTTAATTTTAAATAACTTTTGTAAAAACTATTTTCCGTGTAAAATTGAAAATAAATGAGTTATTCAAGATACAAAAAATAACCCTTTAAATCAAGATGGCGGAGGTAACGACAACTTTAGAATCCCAACTTTTTGAATTTAGACTACCAGAGACCCCCTCCAACGAATTCCGAAGGAAAATTGCTGCTTCGAATTTTTCAGAATCTAAAATACTAATCCGATTGGGCTAATGTTTCTCTACGTAATGTAAATGTATGGATGGTCTTAGTTTTAATATCTTTAATGCGCCATATTTTTAACCAGTGCTTAATTATATTTAGATTAATTTGGAGGTTTCTTTGGGCTAATGTTGGATCTTTGTGGGATGCCAGAATAGCAGTGTCGTCTGCATATGTTGCCTCCATAGTATTTTTTGTTATTGGTAGGTTTGCTGTATACAAGGGTTACAGTATTGGGCAAAGGGCGCTACATTGAGGAACGCTTGAATATATAGGATGTATCTGAGTGTATTCGGTTCCTTGTTTCATCCAGTGTCTATCTACCAGATATGATTTTTGATAGCTGGAAGTGTGGTTAAGGTAGAAACTTCTTTAGTTTAACCTACAATCCTGTATGTCATACCTTGTCAAAGGCTAGAGATATATCAAAGAAAGTAGGTGAACAATATCTTCTGGCGTTTAAGTATTTGTTTATTTGATTGACTAGTCTAGCCATTTATTATATTGTTCCGTGCTTGTTTTGGAATCCAAACTGATGTTCTGGTATTATTTTCCTTTCGTCTATTATTATTTTTAGTCTTTGTTTACATCCATCTTCTCAAATACTTTAGTAAGCATTGACAGAAGGTTTATAGGTCTGTATGAAGACACTTCTTCTGGATTTTTCTTGGGTTTGAGAATCATGATGATTTGTTTTCCAAGTACTGGGGAAGTAGTTTATGCAAATTACTGCATTAAATATAAAACTTATCAGTTTTATGCACTTATCCGAGAGTTATTGCAATATTTTGCCAGAGATAAGATCAAAACCAGGTGCTTTTTTTAATGTTGATTTCTTTCATTTTTGTTTCTTTTACTTGTTTAGCCTTAAGTTTGTTAAGGGGCAGATCCATCTAGAAGGGTACATTTAGGAAGTCGGTGCAGGAGGAAAGGGCTTAAATATGTTTGCAAGGTGTTTGCCGAAGATTTTAACTTTCTCTTTATCGTTCCAGGTCCAATTATTGTCATTATTTTTATTGGGTGGTTAATGTAGTTGGGACCTTTTGAGTTTCCTTGTGACTTTCCAAAGCAAATAATCTGAGGCCTCACTTCGAGTTAGGCGGTCTAGGTATGCTTGAATTTCTTGGTTATGTTCTTCATGGATTGACTATTTTAGCTCTTTCGTTGCTTTGATTAGTTTTCTCTTGTTTTCTTCCATATTTGATGGATGCTATTTTTTTTCGTAGTTGTCTTTTCTCTCAAATTTTATGCTAAATTGTGGGAGACACATTGTTTCCTCTTATGGATTAAACACAATCAGGAGTCGCAATCCATGCTGCATCTTGTTTGTTTTTTGTTAAGGGTATTACTGCTGTTTCTATGCTTAAGGGCAGATTTAGAGAAATTAGACTGTCTAGTTTTTCTCTGAATAGAGACTAATTAGTTATGCGGTATAAGTTGTTTTTCTTTGTTTAATATTTCTGCTTAAATTGTTACTATCACAGGTAAGAGGTCAGATGATAAGTCAGAGTTTGATTCGCATTTACATTTTTTTGGTGTCGTCTTTCGTGACGCAGAAATCTATGACATCTGGAATTTTGCTTTATCTGATGGCCAGTAGATATTTGTTGTACATTTTTCGCTCTCATTGCTTTGAATAATTCTCGGCCTTTTGGGGTTATCATTCTTGAGCCCCAAAGTCGGTGTTTAGAGTTCTAGTCTCCACCGGCAATGAATTTTTTGCCTAAAGTATTGAAATATCCCTAGAAGTGTTCTTTTTTGTTGTTGTGCTTAGATGGACAGTAAATGACAGACATTGTTGTTGATTTTCTTCCTCAATTGTTACACTGGTGACTGGTATATAATCCTGGGCGAACTTCTCCCTTTTAGTGTTTGATAGAATCACGTATTATTATGGCAGTCCCTCCATGTGCATCACCATCTGGCTGTTTTGAATGTATTTAGGAATCCGCAGGTAGTGTTTGTCTGTAAAATGCGTCTTAGAGATCATCATTATGTCAATATTTTGTTTATTTATAATTGTTTTAAGCTACCTAACATGTTGCTGGAGACCATTGGCATTCCAAAAAGCTATTTTATATTTTGGTTGTACGGACATTAAGCTAGTTTACTGATAACGGTATTAAGCAAATTTGGCATTGTGTCCATTTGCTTCATGAGCATTTCTTTGAGCTTAGTCATGTTGTTGCTAGGCTGGTTAGTCCCTGTTATTATTTGTTTATTAGAATTCTTTTGTATTTGATTATTTGTTATTTGTGCATAAGTCATACCTGATTGAATTTGTTGTATGTTTTTAGGTTGAGTTTGTGGTTGCATGTTTCCTTTTTCTCTTAATTCTGGATAATATATAGTTTTTTGCTTGTGGACTAAGCACCCTTTGCAATTAGCTAGATGGCGACCATTACAGTTGACGCATTTTACTTTATCATCACGTGTTTTTTGAGTGCATTCTTTTGATTCATGAGGGTCTGTGCATTTTACGCATCTAAATGTTTAACGACAGTAGATTTTTGTGTGTCCTTAATCCTAACATCTAGTGCATTGTAGAAATATTATTTCCTAGTTTTTCTAGGTTTCTAGATTCTCCCACCCCATATACAGAATCGGGTCTAACCGAAGGAACGTGATACATTGGCGTAGAAAATTATTTTATAGATGCTAATAAGAATTTCGCGTAGGTATTCATTTAAATAGTATAATGAATTGTGAATAGCTGTTTTGTAGGATTGTGATTTGGGATATTATAATACTTATTTAAATAATTATTTCTAGATCATAAATACATGCGATTAAACAGTTATAACCCAGTCGAATCACAATATTACCCTAACTTATTCTACGATATTACACTGACGGACAAACTTTACCACAAACGTTTCGAAGTCGTCCGACGAGGTTCGACATTTATAACCTCTCCAACTACCAAAATACTGTTTCAATTCTTTCTACGCTCTACCTTACTGCTGCAGGATATTACATGTATTCAGCATGTTTTAAAGTGGTGTGTGAGTAGCCATGAGCGTAACATTTGCAAAAGTAGACTCTTATATATGGCCGTTTATCGTATACAACTCAAATAAAGGATTTTTCACCTGGATTTTTGGGGACGCTGAAATTGAATACGGCCAGAGAGTGTAAACGTGTTTAATATTTAAATTTAATGTCTAAATTGTCATATGAAATATCATAGAAAACAATGTTAATAGAGTTAGTATAAGATTAAGAAAGTTTGTACAACGTATACAAGTTGACACAGACCCTTTGATGTTCACTGATGTGAGTTCGTGTAGGCTTGCATATGTTCGCGGAGGCATATGTTCGCCTACATTTGTAGAGGCCCGCCTACGTTCGTGTAGGCTCGGTGACATTCGTAGCCGCTCTCCTATGTTTTGCGGAGACTCGCCGACGTTTGTAGAATAGAAGCTTGTTTAATCCCTTTTCTTTCTTATTTTTCGTATACTGACTATAAAAATTTAACTATTTGCAGCTTTTTTAATCTAAACAGCACCTAAAATTGACAATTTATATAAAAAAACGAAAACTACAGAATACCATATATATAAATAATAGCAAACATTGAATCATACAAATTAACACTTAGTTACAGTATACCTAAGTTTGTAAAGAAAAAAATTCTCAGAATATGGCCACTATAGTAGTTATAACATTATGAAAATTTAGATCCCTTTTATTAGTCCAAAATAAGTAAAAGAAAACTTCAATAATTATTAAAACAGTCAAATATGTCAGTCTATTTTTATACTTTGACAAAAAACTACTGTAAGTTTCTGTTTTTACTCTTAATAGTTTTAAATTATATTAATAAAATCAGAATAGTATCCTTTTTAAAATCGTAATATGTTTTGAGCTCAATCTGATCCGAAATTTTCTGAGAATTTGCAAATTTTTAATAACATTTTTTAAAGAAAAAAATAATCTATTACTGTTTTTGCTATTCCCTTGGAAACTGCAGCAATATCAGGTAATTTTGTTTGTATTTCGTAAATGTTGTCTTTGTCTTTAACTTGAAAGTATACAGGATATTCCACATTCACAGAAACATGTTAAAGTGTTTATATTTCTATTTCAAATAAAACTAAATTTCAACTAGATATTTTGCTATCTAATTCAATGATTAAAGAAACTGTTGGGTACCCATAGTAATAATTTTGAATTTGGAACGTCCAGTATATATCACTGTTTTCACAACACTTTTATTTTGTCGATCATTTATCACCACGTAACATCAATCATCATATTTTATAGTGGAATGCTAGCGCATTTGTATGGTGACAATGATTAGTAGTTCTAGAGGTACATGTTATTTTTCGAACTTCAATTTTTGAAGAATAGTGTACAAAATATAAAAAAAAATCACATAAATTATTGTAAATGGAAGGAGTGTTTGTGGTCAATAAATTTTTAGGCGCATCTATAAAAAGTAAACCGTAAATAACGCAAATGGTACAAGAGGGCATTGAATAGAGTATTTTATATCTACAGGATGTCTCATTAGTGTGTAGAAGTAAAACAGCTCGGTTGTTTTTGAAAATGTTAAAAACAAAAGTTTTACAGGTCATAGAGGCGCCTATTGAAAAAATATTTTCCAATATATATAGAGTGGCCCAAAAAAACAAGGCAACATAAATTTTTGTATGAGAAACAACTTTTATTTTATTTTTGAATTCTAGTAAAAAATATAAGTATTTCTCATCTTAAACACTACATGTCTAAATTCAACTGTTTTCAAGCTTTCGACATTTTTACACTTTGACAAGCTGTAGCTGAAATTAAGGTAGAACGGTTTGCCCTATCCGTATCTTAGTTTTTTATACTTTATACAAATATGAAATAAAATAACACACTTCTGATTTATCTGGAAGTTAGATTCAATTCTTTGGAAGCTACAGATTGTCAAAGTGTGAAAACGTCCATTTTCGAATGTCAAAAGCTTGAAAACAATTGAATTTAGACTTAATATGGTGTTTAGACAAAAATAAAATAAAATGTAGGGCATTCCATTTGGAAAAAATTATTTTTATGTTGCCTTGCTTATTGTGGGCATCCTGTATATTGGAAAACATTTTTTCAATAGGCGTCTCTGCGAACTGTAAAACTTTTTTGTTTGACATTTTCTCGTGATACTGGGCAGTAATGGGATACCCTGTATGTCTACTTAAGTTGAAATTATGAAGAAAAAATTATTCTTAATTAAAATTCATGCATGGTGTAAAATCTAAAATATCAAATATTTTCTTTTGTATACAAGGTTTGTCAAAAAATATGAATTTTGTGTATTAGCAAATATTTTTATTTTGTTTGTTGACAAACCTCGTATACAACTGACCATAATTGATACTTGATGGTTGTATTTTAGATTAAAGACCATGAAGACCTTTTTATGAAGGATAACTTTTTTCTTAAAATTAATAATACATTTTTTCTAGATGATTTTCAACTTCATTTTTCATATACACCGATGCTTTATTAGAGGTATTTGTAGATTTGGGAAGGAACCTGAACGCCGTCTGGCCAGAACTAGCACATAAGATAACGGTCTAGGAATCTCGACAGTTACTGTCGTTGCTGGTCTATAGGTTAGGACACATGTTCAGATTCGATCTCCGGTGACGAAAGGTTTTTTTTTACAAATCTACAAATATTTGTTTCCACCTTTGGGGTTCGTGGATGGTCTTAATAATTCGTGGGAGGATTGTTGAGATTTGTTTCCCAATTTTCAAATTATAAAAAAAGATTCCTTCGCCTTTAGAAATCAGTCAGTTATTATGCGTATTATACAATCTTTAAGAGATGGATTTCTTCCAGTTCGTCAACCAGCACACAAGTACCAATTTTACCCTAGATCTGACGACGTAGAGAACTGAACCAGCGAAATTTTCATCAGATTTCCAATATCTCCAGCAACGACTTTGAGACAAACTAAAAATTTTTTGATACCCTTCAGATGGTATTATGATTATCTTTAGTTACGCCTCTCATTGCTTCGAAAAGTGTTACAGTCGGAAAAGAAGCTTCATTGAAAATCTGCGAAAAAAAAAATGTAAATAAAGTTGATATTGACACCAAATGGTATATGGTTTATGTAGGTAAAAATAATGATGCACAATATTTTGCTACAATCGCACTCTATTTGTTCGTATCTATAATAATCTAACTGCTATTAATTGATTCAAATTTCTAATAAAATGATTAATAACTCTTAACCCTTTACCTCGCATTCGGAATGTCGTGGGTTCGAGCCCCGCTGCCGCCTGACTTACTATGTGTTTTTTAGAGGTTTTCTCAAAGGAGTAGGCTCTCAAAGCTGGGTCAGTAACATCCTCTCAGGTACCAATGTAGTTGCTCGAAAAGAGTTATTTCGTCTTTGTAATTTGAATATTTTTAAGAACTCTAACGGCAGAATAATTTAAAAAAGTTAATAACCTCTTCTACCACATTAGACTGAGTTTCAATTTATTTTAATTGTTAAATGAGCATGCTCTTATACTTCTTCTTGAAACTGAACAGGTTCCCAAGAATGTTTTGGCATTTCAAGCTTTGCTTTTTTATTTTTTGGTTCTATTTTATTGTTTCTATTTATTTTCTTTCATTCTAGTGGGTAAGTATTTAAATTTGAGCACAATCATCTAGCAGTCCATATATAATCACAGTCTACTATATATTTTCTTTCTTGGAAACCTCTTCTACATCTGAATCTCCAACTGCTTCGGGAGTAATTAGGATTTCTACTATAGATTACGCTTGTATTATTTCCTCTTCATTATCCGAGTCTTGTAAGCAATTCATTAGCTCTTCTATTGTCATACGTTTCCTGAAAACAATAAAACACTTTTGATAATTGATTTTAATTTTTACCTACAGTTAGACTAAAAATAAGATCAAAATGTACAAAGTCTTGTCCTATATACACTTATGTTTATTTTTGTAGTCATGAATGCCCAGCGTATGAATATATTCATATGATCTAAATGACAGTCACATAATCTCATAACCTTACAGCTTACTAATGCACAATTTATTAATTATGATATTTAAAGACCTGTAAAATACACAGAATTATAAACTATACTGTATATAATAGACTAAAATAGTTGTTTCATTATTATGCATCAACTTACCTCATCTCTTTTTTGAAAAAGTTAGCTTGCCAACTGTTTGCAGTTAATGTCGAACCTCATTGATATAATTCATGAACAAACTGACAAAATAATCATGAAAGAACAATAATTTTCATAGAAAACTACATTGCTGTGCCATCTCTAATACTCTAAAGAAATAATTGAGCAGCAGAAGGAAGGGTAATTGGAATGATCTCCTGGGACTAAGACAGGCTAAGTTACTTCTGAGTAGCTTTAATCAGAAAAGATCAACAGCCTTGTATCTGTTTGAACAAGAAAATGCTACGCATTGTGACAGATATTCTGACCGATCATTGCCAACTCAAAGGACATCTGAGTAAACTGGGACTAATAGAAGATATTGAGTGCAGGTTCTGTAATGAGAAAGAGGAGGACAAGATTTCATTCACATTCTGACCGAATTTGTAGTACTTCAAAATTCAAAGAAACTATACTTAGGAGCATAGAAGAGGGTGATCTACCTATCTTGAAACCTCTCCAAACCATACGTTTCCTTGAGAAGATAATATTAGAATGATCGTTAGAGGCATCGAAATTATTACCTTGTGGCATTAGTAACAGAAAGAGATAACAATACTCCATATATAACAAGTAGATAAAAAGGTACCACAAACTATCTTAAATGCTTTTCAATTGACAGTTTGATAAATTCGAAATTTTCAGAAAACTATTAGACACACCTTCGAAAATGTAAACGTTCCCTGCCCAACGGATCTCGCTTTTCAAATAAATCGCTTTTACGTTGTCCGGAAAACTCTTTACAGCTACCAATATTAATTCTTTCAATTAATTATGCAAGAAGGGATCTTACCACAAATACAAGAGCGTACGCAAATTCGAACCTTTTAAATTTACGACGCCCATTAAAATTTTAACAGTATTTATTCAAGGATTACAGGACTGTATTTGGTGAACGCGATAAGATTCACGACGAGGGATTAGTTCAGAAATATTGGCCTGGAAACAAAAAAATACCTTACATTGCGTTGGAAATGGGTGGCAATTTATAGAGCCATTTGATATTGTCACTTTCGGATAGAAAGTATTTGAATCTGAACATGTGGGACGAAACACAAAATAATGATAATAGTAATCGATTTCTCAAATTTATCAAGCTATAAAATATATTTTTCTTCCTCTTTCTTTCATTTCTTTTCTTCCTCTTCTTTCTGTTCTTGCTCTTCCTTTACTTATTTGTATTTTTCTTCTTCCTCTATCTCTGTCGATAAATCTACACCTCTATCTGTCGTTTTTCGAGAGTTTATAGAAAACGAGTTTGTAGTATCAATATTATTATTAAAATATGTGGCTGTACATGCCTTATGGAATATTAGCCTTTTTGTAGCACTTTTGTTAAGTATAGCAGTGAGTCACTCTGTCATATTTGTACTTCATTCTCCTATAAGTTTTCTTGTTTTATCGCCGCTTCAATTATTCTTCTTCGTTCCATTTTATGATCTCTCTCCACCTGTCAGTCACCACAATTCATTACTAGTTGGTTTTCCCAACGAATTTTCGGTTGCCTCCTAGGTCTGTTATTCTGTGGTTGCCATTTCATTATCTTTGTAATTATTGATTCATTTTATGTTCTTTATTTTTATGATTTTTCATTATATCTTTTTGTTCTAATATAGCAATTATTTCCATGTTTATAAGCCTTCTGTATTTCCCGCCTGTTTTCTTTGATCCTACTATTCTCCTGATTATTGTTCTTTTGAACACTGAATAGATTTCAAAAATAAATTTTGTAATTAATACCACAAGATGGTTTTCATGAATCTCTTAATTTTCTCATTGTCACCTAAATTTATAATATTTATTA